TTTGCGACGGCAAAACGGAAAAGTACCGATAGGTTTTAAGAAGAAATCACTAGGAAATTTTGTGAACAAACACAGTAAGTAAACTTTCACAACATATAATGGAGAACTGAAATTCAAGTACAAAATAATTTTAATGATAGTTTTTTCTACATTATTATTAGTAATTATTTATTATTTAAATTTACTGAAATGCTTACACTTGATGCCTGTTGCAAAGAGATTTTATGTCAGATTCCAATTTATTTAACTTCAGTCTCAAGTCTTCTCGTTTAATTGTATTCACATGATTTCTTCTTCTTCTTCTTTTTTTTTTTTAACAGCAAATCATTTACAGCGCTAAATACGCATCCAGCTAAATATGAAGAAGGAAACAGAAAGAATAGTTCTGTTACACATTTTGTTGCATTTGGATATTTGATTTTTGTTTCCTCACAAAGCCATGCTATCGCTTCTTTTGTATTAAATAAAGCTTTAACTGACTAATCATTTTGCATTTCTGCAAGTTCTTCTTTATACTGCATATTTGAAATATCAGCCAAATCCACTAACATTGGCTTGCTTCATCCGGATGAGGAAATCAACTTGTTTCAAATCAGAAAATTTTCCTTTTAAAACAAAATCAAATATCTTCACTTTTGCATCAACAAGAATTTTACTTGAAGTTGTTTATTTAATATACTTAGTTTTCAAAGATATCGACTAAATAATTCACAAATGCATAACCATCAACTGTTAATTAGATTTTTCACTTCAAGTTTATCACTTACAAATTAACTAAGAGTATCAAATAGTTCCATAAATATTTTTAAGCAGTTCTCTTTCAACAGCCATCTTACTTCATTGTGAAGTCTCATATAGTCTTCATTTTGTTCTTCACAAAATAACCTGAAGAGACATTCACATTTGGCACTAGCTTTAATAGCATTGACACACTTATAACTGAATTTAATACTTCATTTAGAGCAGGCAAAATGTTTTTAACTACCAGGTCTTCCCTATGCATAACACAATGCACAAGAAGCATTTCCAGATTCTCAACTTTCATCAATTTTAAGCAACTCTTTTTCTTCCCCATCACATCAGGAGCACCTTCTGCAGCACAAGATGTTATACTTTTCATTGGTACATTTTTAGCTTACTTAAAATATCTTTGGAGGTAATGGTACTTTTTAATGATTTACAGAACAACATTTCTTCAGGAAAATCACCTTTATCAATATATCTTATGTAAGTACATATGTCAAAGTTGATTCATCCATTTGCAACAATTCCCCCCTCCTGTTTTCAGCAAGTTGCATTTCAATATCCTCATTTCATCTATTCTTCTGTTAACAGTACTGTTACTTAGTGGCATAGCTTTAACGTCTTTGTCATCTTTTTCTAGAACCGTTTTAAAAAATGCTGATATTGATTAAATTCTCCCCCATAATAGACTCTTCCCAGATTTAGCGATGAGTAATAAAATTTGATAATTAGCCTCAATATTACAATTAACAGTTGCATTATGAGCAGTAAATAGAGACTTTAATGTTACTCTTTTTTCACAATTTTCCCAGTTCAAACCAATTGATAAATTGATAGGCTATTAACAAAACTAAAAAAAGCTCTGTTGTTTGTTTTTATAGCACCAATACATTGATCATCTAATTATGAAACTAAATATACTAATTATATTTTTTAAGAAAAGTAATGCAATAACCTAGACACAGTTAGAGAACTACTGCACTTCCCACTGCTAAACTGGGCACTCCTAGTTTAGCACTTCCCACTGCTAAACTTCTCCTGAATGACACTGTAAGGTCCTTCATAATTACTGAACAAAAAAGGAAAATATTCTGTTAATAGCTCCAACTTTACCTTCCTTTCTCTCATAAAATTCAGCACTTCATTTTTTTATGTTAATATGAAAACACCTTTTAAGCAAATACGGCTTTGCTGAATTTCTGAAAAAGGTAACACTATGAAATAACATACATGCATGTAGCTCCTAAGTCAACGCCTAGGTACGTCAAAACAAATATTCAAGATCATAATTTCATAACTTGTAATGAGGTTTCTGCTGTTAAGTAGCTGCAAGTGAAAAAAGGTTTTGCTTCCATGAGGCCCTGAAAACCTCCTATCACTACTGCCTTCACCACAATCCCATTTTAGGATACGAGTTTTACGCTTTAAACAGACTGTTGATTAACCTCTTATCCTTCTTGACTAATATGGGAAAATTATATTTACTTACTGCTTGGGGGAAATAAATTAAAAAAAAAAAAAGAGAGAGAGAGAGAGAGCTTAATTTCACAGATGGAAAACATGGAACTAATTTCAGGTAAATTTTGCAATATGGATTAAATGACAAAATTATTCTTCAATATAAACAACACAATTATCGATATTAGATGCTTTTGGCAAGAAAACTGCTGGAGCGAATTGAAAGGTTATAAGGTAATTGAATCAGTGAAAGAAAATAAACTCACTCTGGAGAAACAATAACACGAGCATGGCAGTTCCAGAATCCTGAAGGAAGACCATATAATACGTTCCGACCAAGGGTGACTGGTAGTAAGTCCTAAAACTAGTGGTATGGGTCATCGCTTGTCATTCGATCTGAATTTCGTGATATCCCATCAGTTTGGGGGCCGCCCGCATTGTATTGACGGAGGCATTATCTATGACCAGTTAGATCTTCAGGCCAATAAGGCCATAGCCTGTCATAAGACTTAAAAACCGGGAGTGGTGACTCCGCGCCCCTGGATCGAGTGGTGTGTAGAGAGAATTCAAAAAGTCTGTAGTCGGTAAGTGTGGAACTGGCAGCAGTAAGATAAAATAATATTGCTCTCCAAAGTGGCATATTTGCCTAGTTTCCCACCTCCCGCCTAATATGAAGGTTCTTAAGATGAGGAATAGGCCATGCAGCGTCCTCAATTAGATACAATGGTACATGTATCCAATCCAACCCCCCAAAAAACTTCTATAAAATAAAAACACTCACAAATACTTTTCTCCTGACAATGCTCATATTTCTTGGTGTAGCACACAGTCTGAAAACTGCTGCTGTATAACATAATAATAAACATTTAAATAGCTATTAACTTTAATACCATTATTTTTACATTCATACAGTGTATATCATGCATTCATACATACATATATAGCACTCACCATGTGTATAAACCAAATTTCTTCTTTGAATTTCAAATTCCCCCATCTTCTCAAATAAATAGAGAAATATTATGCAGACTCACCGAAAAATTTCAATACTGATCCTTTCATTCAGAACCGAATATATTTACAGGGCCTGTAATTTTAAATTTCTCCATGCTGAACTTAATATGCTTATAAAACAAACCAAAAATATGAAACAGCTTGTTTTGTGACATACTCTTTAATATGGCAGACATCTAAATTTTTATTTCTTTAACTTAACAGAACCTTTTCTCATGCAATTGCCTTTCAATGCTTATAGCATCCAGAAAGTTCAAGTCTCAACTACATGTAGAACATCAAGTGATGACAGACTGATTCCAGACAGCACTGTCAATGCTAAAGCAGCAATATGCTGCCAGGTATATGTCCCAGCCAATATGCTACTTTTTCATTACCATATGCATATTATAACATTTCTAGTGTTTCACTGCAGCTCTAGCCAAATTCAACAAAAAATTCAATCACATTTCAGCCCATATAATCATAGAAATGGCTTCCTCCCCTGGCTATGATAAAACGTACTATATACTCTACTCCCACTCAATGAGACTGAATACAAAAGGCAATGGCTGTTCAAATTGCAAATATGCCGATATATAATTTTGCAAAACCAAGTACAAGATTGTTACACATAGGAAGTAGAAGCAGTCTCAAAACTTGCAATTTGCTACTTTTTAGTAGAGTTTAATTCATTCTGTGACTGAGGTCCGTAAGTTAAAATTTTTGTATCTCAAATCAATTTCCTCCATTGAAATTAATTGAATGTGATTAATTCGTGCCAGCCCCCCAAAAAATCATTCCAATTTTTTTACTAAATTTTTTCAAAATAAGAAAAATATATTTAATATGAACAAATACTGTATATATACAAAATAAATTTTAAAAATTTAATTTTTAAATAAAACCTAATAAAAGATAATTTAAAGAAATAAACAGATACATATGTATATTAGATTAGTGTATGTCATACATCTACTGCATTTTACATCTTGCTCATGTTTGTCTTAATTGTGTCTTAATTCCATAGATATCACCTTTTTTTTCTAAACCAGTATTCTTTACACTCATCTTGGAACTCTCAGTTATATGACACATAAATTAGCTAATAACTCTATGTGCCTCAGATTTGCAAGTTAACTTCTGTGATGTAACTAAGGCTAGCTCGTATCTTAAATTTTGACTTGCAACTTAGGCAAAAAACTGTACGTAGTGACTGCTCATATCTCAAAAACTCATATGCTGGACATTAACATCTCAAGGTACCACTGTATTTTTACAGTTCTCTTTTAATTATTACACCATTTCCAGCAACACCAGTATACAATTCTAGGGTAGTAAGATGCATATATTTTCAAGGATAGTCATAATAATTGTTTGGACTTTTGAGATGCTCCTGGTTTTTTTAATTTTTGTAATATATCTGCCACAGAGTCCAAGAATATTTCCACTTTTAACCCTTTCTTTTGTGCAAATTTCAGTACTTCTTGAATTGTGAGCCTGACTCTAGTTTTAGTATCAATATCAAACTACACTCCACTGGTCACTTTTGAGGCCATCTCGTAAAGTTATTCTTTCATAATCATTATCTACACTACCACAACTTATCCTGATAAAAAAATCTGTTGAATGACAAAGCATAAAATACTGGAAAAAAACCACAAAAACAGTCCTAGATTTCCTAATGACCGCTGAAAAATTTTATGCTCTGAACTAATTACACTCCAAGTCAAGTCTTTAAAAGCATGGCACTATACAATTAAACATTTTTGTAAAGTTATAGATTGTGCTGGAAAAACAATTACCAGGAGATGATCCAGATGAAGCATGGCCAACTTGGATATCATGAGTTAATGCAATGTACGCAGGTTGCGTAATGACAGCTGGTGTTGATTGTGCAACTGAATCAGGATTTGAATCTCCAGCATTATCAGAAGGAACAGGACTGGGTTCTCTGGACAATGAATCTGGAGTAACTAAACCACTTACTCCACTATGACTGGGAGAAGCAGGAGCAGACCTATAAAATCAAATATTTAAATTGATGAAACAACTTAAAAAACTTATATAAATCAACAGTACTCGCATGTATTCTTATAAAAATAAAGTAGGATGGATCTGCTTTTCATGCATGATGCATAATACCATTTTACATAATTTTCAGCAAATCATACAATAACATTACCAAATACTTATTTATGCATGCTTAGTGGAAAAGTAAAACTTAATTTTTTTAAAGAAATGTAAAATAACTATTGTAAAATAATTCCCACTGGATATAATAATTTATGTATATTATTAAGAATTGGAGGAAAAAATTAATGGAATATTAAGCATTTCAAGTGATTTTAAATTACACTAATAGAAATGAAGCTTTTGCATATCTTTTGACTTACAACAGATTAATACTTGTCAAAAAAGTTCTCAGACTTGCAAATATACAGTGCCTGTTTAAAATATCATCAATAATTAGAAAAATTGATGACAGGCTTTTTGTAGTCATTTAAATGCAAGTGATAAAAATACCATTTAATGCCAGGAACAAAGATTACCTGTTATTTTGCATTCTACTGTAGTGATTTTAGAAAGAATTTTAATAACTATAAATCTTGCTTCTTAATTATATCTAAATATCATCAATTATCAATTTCTAGAGAATGGGAGCATACTAATATGGTAACAGTTGATACATATTACAGTTGTCATAATTCTGCCTTAATGTGCAAAAGATTTAACCAGCAGATATGTGGTAACAGACATGTGACGTGGTTTTAAAACCTGTTAAAGATACTCTTTAGAAGCAATATTAAATACTCCAATTATCTGAATCACTTTTAGAAGTTAAGAAAACAATTAAGACGGAAACATACTGCAATTTGCAAGATAATGATTCTGTCTATGCACGCTATTGTCCTTCCCTCCGTGAAGCTAGTGTAGGCGTAGCGCGAACATCATTGGGATGATAAGCCACAGTCTCATAGTGCAGTTCTATTACTGGTTACAGTATTGTCTGTCACCAGGTGGCCCACATGGCCACCTGTTACTGTTTGCTTTAATTATTAGTCAGTCAGTGTGTCGTTGACTTGCGACAGTACTGTTTCGCATCAGTGTATTGTTTTGTTTGTGAGTGCATTTCATTGTTCACCACAGCTTCTAAAAGAAAACGTATTGTATTATCATTAGCAGATAAACTAAAAATTCTAGAGCAATCCGATAAAGGATCGGTATATATAAGGATACGGGTAAAATATTGGCCGAGATGTACGATGTTGGACAATCAACGATTTCAGACATGAAGAGGAACAAATGGTGTGCGATTCGTCAGACTCTGGATTTCAAATTCTAAAGATGATGAACTTATTGAAAGTGTGAGAGAAGAATGTATCGAGGAAGAAGATGACTTTTATGTCGAAGTTGAAGCTGACATGGGACCATCAGCTAGTGAAGCGTTTGCTGGCCTCGAAACTGTGGTGAAGTGGATGGAACATCAACCCGCTTACTTTGACCAAGATGTTCAGCAAGCAATAACTTTCAGCACTTGTAAGTACTATACAGTATGCTATGTAACATGTACGTAAAAGTTTTGCCTTTTCATTTTATTTAATTAAAACCTCTATTTCTTTTAAAATAGTTTTTTTTTTTTTTTCTATTTTCAACATGTACATAGATCCTTTCAAAAAAAAGAAAAAAAAAAATCCAATTATCCAAATGGGGTCTGGTTTAAACTGATCTGGATAATTGGAATTCTACTGCAACTTCTTTGTATGACATACTTTAATGTATCACAGAATACTTAAGCTGATACAGTTGCTTATAGGTATGTTCTTATTTGTAAGAAAAAATGTCAACTGTATCTTTGATTGTGTAATAGTTTCAAGTAATTTTCAGTTTTTATGACATACTTTGAATTAAATTTTGGTAAATTAAGATAGTTGGAAGTTGAAGAACATATCAATAGAACAAGTCTAAAATTGCTAAATAATTTATTATATGTGAACTTTGACCTTGTAGGATTGTTATGTCACTGTCCAAGAACTACTCGATGAACTGGGAATAAACACTAGTCATGTACAATCTATTAGTGCTGAAACTGCTAACGACAGAGCAGATCTATATAGAACAGGGATTCTCAACCAGGCATGAATTACGCCCTGGTTGGAAAACCTTAGGGAGAATTTCCCATACAGGCTTTTTATTTAGTACTTCATTTTAGTTTATAAGCATAAAAAATTACTTTTATTCAAGTTTTTATATTTGCTAACATTTTCTATATTTTTTTGTTGTCTGATTTATAAAACACATTAAAAAATAATCTAGATCTAAATAAATGTATGCTTGCATTTCTGAAGTTTTGGAAAGGAAAGGGGTTCTTGGGGCAAAAAAGATCGAGAACCCCAAGTGCGGAACATGGCGGTACGCACAAATAGCAATTCCAATTTTCTGTACACTAGAATGAACATGGTGGTACACATAAATAGCAATTCAAATTTTCTGTACACTGGGATATTAAGTGATAAGCCATTGTCTTATATAAGTAAAACCTAAAACCCAAGGCACAGTTATTACAGTGGAAATATCATTCTCAAGGCTAGAAAAAAAACAAATGCAGCATTAAGCAGTAAATGCTTAGTAACCATACTACAAAAACTGGCTACCTATTCATCAAGTATGACAGGTTGAGTCATGTCAGTAACTTGATTAAACACAATATTCCAATAATTCAAGCTATCCTATACTCCTGACAAACCTCCTCCTCATTCTGGACAATTTCCTAAGCTCAAAATAACACCAAGGTTAGACTTCTGACATGCTTCCCACGGTAGTAGTCAGAATATAACAGGATAGTTGCACTTCATTCTGAAATAGATTTTCTAGAAATTCTTCCCAATGAAATATGAAGACCAACAGGAGATATGTGCACACTTTTAGAAATCTATTTTGAAAGCGATTAGGACTTCAGATTTCAAAGTGAATAATTCCATGTTTGCTGGCCAAAGGGTTTTTTAAAAGACCTATGTAGAATAGGAATTATAAAATACCATAGCAAAGTTACAAATAATAATTATTATTAAAGCACTGAAATATAATATTTTTACACAGATGTTTTTTCTAAAACAATGGCACTGTTATAATCCATGGTTGGCCAAACTTCATGTCAGTAAGAGCCCCACGCTTGAATTCAGGAAAGTTCCAGAGCCGCATCTAGATTTTCTAAAAGCCACAAGTTCATATTTACATCATTATAGAAGTAGTGGAGGATGTTTTAAATAGAAAGAAATCCCTGATAATTTTGTAAAAAGTCTAAACTAATTAATTTCTTCCTTTTGGACACTGAATAGTTTTCGTTTACCATATCCCATACATATATTTTATACGCATAAGCCACACAAATTGCCTGTGAGAGCCGTATCAGGCTCGCAAGCCGCACTTTGGCCACCCCTGTAATAATCAAACACTTAAATAGCAGCAAACTTTTCATACAGGAACAAGACTGAAATATAAAAATCTTAATCAACTACTGCATTAACTAAATTAACTTTATCTTCTGACCTGTAAAAAATATCTGATTTATGCATTTTATTGGAAATACATATGAGATCTATGAAATCTTTCTCAAACAAGATGACTTATTTTTTAATGAAAAAGTTACTGATAAATTCTTATAATTTGCAATCACAATTCAAATCTTACATACCTGGATGAAAGTCCACCATATGGAGCCCTAAAGCATGGTACACCCCTCTGCCGCCTCCGTCTAAATGCCTGTTCAATTAATTTAGTTTCTGACTGAGAATCAATTTTCCAAAAACTTCCTTTACCAGGCTCTTCTTGGGGTCTTGGAACTTTTACAAAATGCCGATTAAGTGACAAGTTATGGCGAATTGAATTCTATAAGCAGAAAGAACTCATTTAGTGTGTTTTACCAAAATTTAAATATATATATATACATTGGTGAAATAAATTAAGAGAATTTTCATATTTGATCTACGATCTCCAGAACTACTGGACAAATTTTAATAAAATTTGGTGTGAACATAGGTTGATATAATACAAACAAAATAAACATTCAAGAACTATAATAGACACACACGTTCATGTGCAACACTCGTGTGAATCTGAAGGTCTGAAACAGCAGTTGCAGAAGACACAAAAGAAATGGGTTAACAGGGGGTATGGTCCTCTCTTACAACCATACAGGCTGGAAATAAGGCAGTTTATCAGTGCCTGTGGCAATTAGTCCCACTCATTCAGCAACACTGTTTTCAGTTTCTGGATGGTTCTCGGAGGGGTGTTGCGAGTTGCAGTTGCCCTCCCCAGAGCGTCCCAGACATGCTCTACATGGTTGAAGTCTGGAGACCTCGCTGGCCAATCTATCTGGCAAATATCCTCACTCTCGAGTTATCGTCTTTTAAGATGAACTGGGGACCCACTGCACCCCAGAAAAGGTGAACATAGGGCTCCAAGACCTCATCCTATACCTCACACCAGTCACAGAGCCTCTGTCAAAGATGTAGAGAGGTGTGCCACCATCCAACATGATGCCTGCTCAGACCAGTACACCGCACAATTGTTGATTTTGCGTACATTGGAGGGTAGGTAGCTGGTCCCTGGCTCTCTCCATATGAAAGTACGATGAGAATCGGTGTTTAGGCTAAAACAGGGCTCGTTGGTGAACAGAACGGTCACCCATTGCTCCATACTCCAATCACTATGCTGCCTGCACCATGCCACCTCATTCCATCATCTAAACTTTAGTGGTTACTCAATTTTACCGCTCTGGTGTGAATTTAACTGATTGCTGCAAGATAACACCAAGAAATTCGCCGAGGTGTGCTAGCGATTCATCTTACCCTCCACACGCTTATAAAGCCTGTTTTTCTGCTGGCTCCGCCTATACACACATGTACGCTTATATACTTGCCGTACGAGATTTGCATTTTTATCTTGCAGCAGTGGTTTTTCATTCAGTTCAGTTCTTTTCATGCAATTTGATAAAATATGCAAATTCTCTTAATTTATTTTACCAGTGTATACATGTAATGAAAACAAGAAAAAGATCAGTGCTGATACGTAATACCTAGATATGATAGATCGTAGATCCATACTGAACAGGAAAAAAATTCTGATTGCGTAGTAAGCTAATATGTTGAGTTCGTAATATCTAAGAAACTTGGCAGTTGAGGTGGTTTTATTTCATTTTGACTTCCAATTGACATATGTGGCTACAGTTCACTTGGCACTCCAATCATGCCTATTCAAGAACATTTACATTTTTGATATTGCAATAGGAAGCAACCCAGGCAGCATGCATTCGTAAATTGCACGAGAAAAATACGTGCAATTTACGAATGGCCTTTCGTATAAAAAACGTTCAAGTTGAACGTAAAAACATCAAAAAAAGTGTCCAGTGGCAATTACTAAATATTTACGTATATTTTTACGTTATACTATACGTAACTTTTACGTAAAATTTAGGTATATTTACGCGAGAGAGTACTGTTCATTCGCAACTTTTACGTATAATATACGTAAATTCAGGGATTTACGTATTTTTTAGTAAAAATTTACGTATATTATTGCATATACGTAAATCTCAATTTTTTGCTTCACATATGCGTATATATTTAGTAAAAATTTACATAAATTCCCCGATTTTTTACTGTATATAAACTATATATTAGGTAAAATTAAGGTAGATACCCGTATTTTACGGTACAAAAACGTATATATTGATAGAAATTAGCGTACGTATTTCCCGTAATTTACGGTACAAAAACGTATATATTTGATAGTAATTGACCTAAATCTTCCCTATGTTTTCTTTGCATATGCGAATGACTGGTAAAAATTTAATCCGATGTATTCTCCACTTTACTGTGTATATAAATGCACATTTTTTTGGTAAAAAATATGCATAATCTAAATTACCTTTTCACTGCATTTTTCTAAAATGTAACTTATTTTAATCTCATATTTTTTTTAAATCTATGCAAAAACTTCTGTATGCTATGATTAAAAGGTAAAATAATTTTTATATCAAATTCTTACATATCTGCCTTTTAGTTATGTACAGCAATATGAAATATATATAACTGGAAAATTTAAATGCACTAGTAAATGCAAAAAAAAAAAAAAAAAAAATTCTATTAAAAAATACGTAACACTTAAGGCTGAAAATGACTTAATATTTCATTTCAAGTGACTACAAAATATGCAATAAATTTAGTAAACATCAATTCTGTGTTTTAAATCAATTAATGCCATCGTTCATTTGCATTTTTGTTTACTAAATTCATTTCATAAATTTAAATTTAGTAAACAACTGTAGCAAACAGTTGTTTACTAAATTCATCATTACTAAATAACACTTTAAATAAATTATTTGCTTTTCTGAAGGACATTTTCTTATGCCATGTAAATGAATGATAGCATTAATTGATTTAAAACATAGAACTCAAGTTTACAAAATTTATTGCATATTTTGTAGTCACTTTGAAATGAAATATTAAAAGTGATTTTCAGCCTTTTAGTGTTATGGAATTTTTGAATAGAAATTAATTTTTTTGCATTTAAATTTTCCAGTTATATATATTCCATATTGCTGTACATACCTAAAAGGTGGATATGTAAAAATTTGATATTAATTTTATCTTTTAATCATAATATGCAGAACATTTT